TATGCAACAAAAAACTAAGGCGCTTCGCGGCCGGAGAAAGTCAATTTGTTAAGCTGCAGCAGCACCCAAAGGGATGAGGACGACATCGGCCAACGTGGCGTATGCGTCACAGGCGAATGGAAGACCATGATGGTCAGGAGCCTGGCTGGGTTAGAGGTAGCCAAAGTGGAAAGAAAATATGCTGGGGCCGCACACGATAAACTAACCGAGGAGCCGCAACTTTTCCTTCACTTATTTTATTATAATAAAATTGATTTCTTGCGTAGGGAGGAGCATGCAGAACGACAGCGGCGCTGGCATAAAAATTAATATAAAATGAAAAGTTTGAAATTTATTACAAATTGAATTGATTTATGCAACCACCAGGCTCCAGCTCAGCCAGCCGCCCCCCAATGTCCAATCCCCAACGCCACTTCTGCCACGGCTGCCACTTCCACTTGCTGAAAAGGTGACAAAGTGAAAACTTTTGCCATTGCCGGCGCTCGTTGGCAAATTAAATTGGAGCGGCGCTTCGATTGAAGGGCGCGGCTGGGATTTATGCGTGCGGCGTTAATCAGATAAAATGACTAAAGCCAGTAAAAATCTGCGCATGAATATGCAATACGTACGCCCATATTCCCATTTGCCGTGTCGCATCGGATTCGAATTCTCGAATGTGAATGCAAATGCGTCGGCTCCGCCTAAAGTTATGCGCCCACACGCGTCCTGTGCAAAGTTCTGGGGCATTCTTTCTTGCAAATGTGAAACATTCCTGCCATTTCACTATATAATTGTATACACATAAATACCGTATATAGTGCAAGTGCTATAAACAGAGGTAAATAACAACAACAAAAATAACAACAATTGTTGTGCACGCCGCAGTGCACACAATTAAAATAACACTTGTTAAAATATTTACTTTATGTAGCGTGTGTTACACACGCATACACACACACACACACATACACAAACACACACGCATGCACAGCAACTCAAACAAAAAATGAGCTGTGAAAAAATTAAAACGCTGACCCTGGCAGAATGAAGTTTATGTATCCAGCTACATTTAATGCAGAGATTGCACTTTTTTCTCTTCGGTTTTTGTTTTTTAGTGATATGCATAAAATTAAAATTCCCTCGAACGGGACTTATTTTAATGTTAACGAGAACCGTCCTTTTATGATTAAGTGTAAAACACATTAAAATTATTTAAGAAGATTTTGATATAAGAACACTTCACACTTCTGCCAGCCATTTTCTATAATTTTGTTTTTTTTTTAGCCATTTAGTTAATAAAAGCTTTTAAAAATCTCTTGGTTATTCGTGTTTTTAAGCGCCAATTTAATTACATTCAATCATATAGAAAGTAATTGAAACTTGTGGCTTTAACATGCCATTGTTTTTTATTTTATTTTTTTTTAATTGCCAGAACTCAATGAAAAACTCAATTAAAGTTAATAAAATTCATTTCAACCAAACCGTTTGGCAACCTTTGAAAATGTGCACGTGACGATGCGTGATGGACAGTTGCTGAAGTGAAAAAAACAACATTTTGAAATATATTGAAATCAAATTATTAACTGTACATAAAAAGGCATACAATCAACACAAGCAGACCCATTAAAAATTAGCAAATATCAAATGATTTTTTCCATTAAACCTATTGAAATTCAAATCAATTAAATATGCATTTAATATTCAAACCAAATGGATGATTACAAAAAAATGCAAATAATATATACATAATATTTTAGGCAATCTAATTAGGCGACAGCTTCATGCATAGACAAATTTTAGTTTTAATATACAAACAGAAATACTATAAAAGCAATTCAATAAGTTCGCTTTGGTGCCTGCTGATCTGAAGTCTTGAGAAAAGTCTCAAACCGTTGCAAACAGGAAATGAAAACCCCGTTGGTAGAGCGCTGGAGCGAAATAAAAATCAACCTGCGCTACATTTGGAACGGAAATATGTTCAATTTAGAGAATATCAGAAACACACGAACAGAGAGACTCTGGTGCCGATTGAGTGATGCACACAACAGGAACTCTGGAAAAGAACTGTATATCATAAAGAAACACAAATACTCTTGGCACTGAATACTGCAATATTGCAATTGCGTTGGAATATTCTTTAGAGCTGAAAATTGTAATAATATTGTCAGTGAATCCATTAAGAAGAAATTTAGAGGCAAGAAAACAATGATTCAATATGGTTTTTAGTCAAAGAATTGGCAGTGTGCGAATAATTGAATGCGACTTCAACGATTTCATAAGAGCAGCCAGACTCCTCTAAGTGTAGGGTATTAAACGAAGTGGCTTCAGGTAGCAGCAGAGGCAACTGCAGCAGCAGCAGCAGCCAAAATGGCGCAATGGCAGAAAACGTAATAAAACCAAATGCAACAAAACGAAACAAACAATACAATCGAGCACATGACCAAAAGCCAGCGAAATAAACGAAACATTTCTGCTGTCGAAAAGTTAACAAAAAACTGCACAGCAACAACAAGCAGGCCAGGCCTGGCCAGCAAAGTGCAAATGGAGATGAAGAGGGAACGCTGAAGGACCAGTCGAGTAGGAACTGGTAACAGCAGCAGCAGCAGCAGCAGCAGCAGCCAAGTGGCGGTCATTGTGCGGCTGACTAGAGAGCTGGAGCTGCAGAGCTGGACAAGCGTCAAAAGGACAGGCAAACAAACGCCAAGCCTGGAGACGACCGCACGAGTTGGACGCGGGAATGGCAAAGGAGAAGGAGACGAGGTCGTTTCCATGGATCAACATCCGCTGCCTGTCCGCTTAGAATGTCAATTGAATCATCGTTTGGATCTTTTGCATTGCATTGGCAATTGAACTTTCAGAAATAGCTCGGCACTAAATGCAATTAGGATGACCTTTTTGTGGCTTGTAGTTTGTTTTAAACTAATTCGGCTGTTGTCCCTTTACCCCTCCACAGACCCTTGCCGTGCATGTGTGTGTGTGTGTGTGTTAAAATGGAAAGTGTCAAACGCAGCATTGATTGTCATTCATTATGCAATCAATATTGATTGCTTTGTGGGAACAGCAACGCGGCAACCACTGAAAAGTGACTTGCCAATCTTCAGAGGCGGAAAATAGAATGGTCCTCATGAAGTTACAGAAGTGGGCGTGGATGGAATACTCTTCGTTGCTCTGTAAGAGAGAACACCCAGTAGAAAAGTTAATAGTATTGACTGTGGGAATGTGACTACAGTTCTCCCAAATGTGATCTATTTTAATAATATGATCCAATTTTGAAACATTTTGAAATGAACGATGTTTATTTATAGTTTAAGAAAAAGATTACAGCCTTTCATTATGCTTAATATAATTGATACGAGACTCTTGTCGGGTACAGGGTATTCCATAGTCTATGATTCAATGCAATTCAATCTTTATTTGACTTTTCCTGCTGACATTTTTCATGCAATGTCGCGCGCTGATTGATGAATGAATGAAACATTGTGTTGCTTTAGCCGACCGTTTTTTCAGCCGTAAAAATATGCCAAATGGACAAGAGATCCACCTCTCCCCTTGGGCACGATGGCAAGCACGAAACTTGTTTTATCCGAAATAAATCACCTTTCTATTTTAATTCCTATTGTGCTTTTTAATCAAAATCACATGTGCGTCACAAAAAACCAACAAGGAAAAAAAAGGAACTTGGCGAAACTAATTTCCAAACAATACAAAAGGAAAATAAAACTTTTTGTGGGCACAAGATTCGTTTTGCAGCTGCGTATCGGGCCTGGCTACAGCTGAGTCAGCGGCCAGGGACATAAATCAAACTTAAAGTAAAACAAACGGGGACCCGTGGGGCGTCAGAGACGCCTTGACGACATTAACTAATGGTGGACGCCAGTAGCAAAGCGCCTGCTGATAGGGCACCAGAATTTTATATAAAAAACTGAGCAATAATCAACATGTAGACCGAACCCGTACCCGTCTGAAGCCATAAGGGCTGGTGTCTGCGACGAAAAATTGCAGGAACATACAAAAGTAAATGTTGCATCATTTAACATTTAAACATGCTAAAATCATTGTGCCAGCCCCAACCGCTTCTCTTGCACAACGCACGTGTCTCTTTCCCATGTATCTGCGCTTGTCAAATAAATACACAATAAATGACACACTCGCTCAAACAAGTCGCGCACCACAGTGGAGCACCACACGCAACATATATATGTAACCTTTGGACCTCTCAAGTGTTTCGGGCATGTGGCCTCCTTACCCACCATAGCAAATTTAAGTGATTGAAAGGCAGTCTTAGGTTTGCTGTGCGACTGTGTGAGACTGGCAGACACACATTCTGACACACCGATTCCCCCCCAACATAACGATAACCGTCCCCTGGAGTGGGGCATAGCCCACGATTGCCACGCCCTCCATTGGCGCACTTGAAATGCTCTTAGTGCATTTGGTTTTACGCTTACATTATTTGGCATAAAAGGCGCGGCGTGAAGATGTGAAGCTACTTGAAAGCATACAAATGCCGTGTTTCCACTGGCATGCAGCAAGACGCAACAGCTTTCAAATATATACGAATGTAGTATTGAAATTTCACGAGCTTAAGTTGAAAAACTTCAAGCGTTTTACTTTCTACGTAACGTTTCACATTCAAAGCCAGCGAACAGAACTGATTATAGTATTTTATGTACAAATTTAACTTAAATTCTTCTGATTTATTTTTCAACTGTCTTAACTTTGGCTTTTATTAAAATATTTAAATTTTCATTTAATCGTCACAAATAAATGTGATCAAAATACATTTTAAATTAAGTAAGTGGTAAGAATTAAAATCAACCCTCATTAAAAAATGGTTTGATTTCAAATTCATAGCATTAATTTAAAGATTGGATTAAACTGCATAAGTTGACTCAATCCATATTTCTGTAGCAATATATCTGATTTTTAAAATAATTTTTAGTTAAATTTCATGCAACAAATATTATTTTCGATTCCTTACCTTCAAGAAATTATATTTAGGGTCTTTAAAATATCGAAAATTTCAAAAACAGTATTACAAAATTTATTGAAAATTAACATTCGATTAAACAGTTCTTTAGCCTAATGTAACATTTGCCACCAAATGTGGCACAGTGGAAACAGCTCACAAGCACGTTTGTAGGATTGTGTAAATTGTGTATGAATATCGTGCGCTAAAGTGTTTGCTCAATGTGTTTTCATTGTGTGTGTTTGTATGGGGTGAAGTGTCTGTGGGTGTCTTTGTGTGGGTGGGTGGTAGTTTGTTTTGGTGGAGGCGTAGCTGCAATTGTTTGAGCATGACTTGATTACGCGCCAGGTGAGAGGTGGCAACTGGTTGGAACTCGCGTTTGCCCACGAAAACTTAAACATACTCGCTTTAAGAGTGGCAGCCGCTTCCCCGACTTGCAGCTCGACTGCCATTAAGTGGCCATTTCTGTTGCTAATGGCTGGGGTGGGCTTAACTCTGGACCCGGATCATACATCATGTTAATGTGCGAACGTTTAATGCAGAAACAGAAAGAGAGAGAAAGAGAAAGAGGCCTTGCCCGTCGCCTTTTGCCTGAGCATCATCAGTTATGGTGTCAAATCGAAATACACCAAGGAATCGAAGTCGGCGTGCGGCTGATAGTACACGAGAGTGTTTATATGGTGTGTATATATAAATATATATATTAAATGCTGAGGGACTGTTCTGTGCCATTGAGCATAATGTGCTAGAATTCAATTTGACAGCTGACAGGACAACAAAGCATGAACAGACAGACTCAGACAGACTAAACTAGACGCTCAAGGGAATTGGAATTGGCTTCAATACCGTTGGCTTTGCCTTCGATTAATTAAATTAAATGCAGCTGGATGGCTAACCAATAAATGTTGGGGAAAATTTCAAACTCTAGCAGCCTATGCAGTCGCAGGTGGCATTTGCCAACGCTTCTCGCCTCAGATATTATTTCCTGCTTAAGAAAAACTTTTGCACATCTTGCCAACTGTTTTTCTTTGGCCGTGTGACACACGCTGTGAGTGCTCAAAAGTCCGAGTCGGCGTCCGATTCAAAGTCCAGACTTGACTTGCAGCTTATCAACATTGCCAGCTAGCTGGACACTATTTCTCCCCCTGCTGCCCCTGCCCTGTTGGCTCTGCTGATTCTGCTGCTCTGCCACTGTTCCGTTGAGTGCATTAATACGCTTGCATAATACTTTAATGTTGGGTCTTGTCTGTCGTGACAAACGGAAAAGCTGCTGCAGCTAGAAAAGCTAGAAAACTCTCTCGCACTTTGCTTGCAAAACTTTGCTGTGCAGGAAGCGCAAGAAAATTAAGAAAATACTCATCGTTCTCAACGCCGGCAGCTCTTCTTCTTCTTCTGCTTCTTATGCTATTTACGACAGTCCACATTGAAATTATACGAACCGGACTGCACTGCCCCGCCGTCGAGCGGGGCCCTGCCTCGGCTGCCATTTGCTAAAGTAAAAGTCAACATGATGCCGGGTCTAAGCCAAAAGCAAATGTCCAAAGAAATTTCAAGTGTTGTAAAATGGCAACATGGATTGTTGAGCAATTTGCGACTGTGTGTGTGTGCGTGTGTATGTGTGTGTAAGCCCCCGAAAAAGTTTGAGCCACACACAAATGGCCAGGCAAAAACTTTGGCTCTGCTCCACATTCAGGAAAGGGGCCTTGAACGGGTCTTGAGATATGAGCACAATTAAAACTTAGCGCAAAGGCCAGTTCCCGTTTGCCGCATATCAAAGCTGAAGCTTTGAATGATAAGCCAAATGCCAACAGTTTACTAACTGAACCAAAGCAACTCAAAGTGGCCTTCAAGCAGCTTTTCCAAAAGTTTACAAACAACTTTGCCAGGATTTCGCTCTCAGCGCCAAAGAGAGGATCCTGTTCATAATTAGTAACTAATTTTGAGTAAAACTTTAAAGCATTTATGCTCCCCATTAACAGGGCTGCAAGCTCCAAAAAAGAATCGCTGATTCGGTTCACGGTTCGAACCGAAGTGCTGCCTTGGGGTTCGCTAAGTGAACCTTGATTTCTATACCCATTAACTGAGTTTCATTTAAATAAAATTGAATTCCGGCTGTGAACTGGCTATAATGAAAAAATGATCGGACAGAAAAAATATACACTTAATATTTATAGCTTTCAAGACAGAGTCGCCAGACTAGACAAAAATACTGTAGCCACGCCCAGGTCTAACTTGCTTCACACAAGCTTTGTTTATCTAGCGGTTGGCGGTCAAATCAAAACTTTTTAATATAAACTCAAAAAGTAACTGAGGAAAACTGACGAAACTCTGGTCATAAACAGGATTCAATGAGCAGTAAAGCGGCAATAGATTTGAGTTATGGTTATTAATAATGGCACAACAATACGGAAAGGGCGAGGGGCTATCTGAACAGCTCATCAGGATAGACAGTACACAGAGCGGCAGACAGTGAACATGGCACATGCAGCAATGCAGACTTGTCTGGTCTAAAAATACAATATAATATAATGGCGGGCTGTTGTGTAGCACATCATGTTGCTGGCCAAATGAAAAGGGGCAGCCAACAAACAACTACAACAACAGGGAATGAACAACGATATACAAGACCCCAACGCCCCTACCCCATATATGTGCTCTCCCACATTACAACGTGTGAATCCAATATATTGGTAGCTCTTGGTTCTGGTTCTGGTTTTGGCTCTGGTTCGTCTCTGTGCCGGAAATGCCTTTGTCTGGCTTCATAATATTTTGCTCGTTACTTTTTAATATGACTCACAACAACATCCGCAGCATCCGAAGCCAGACAGACGCTGACAAACAATGCAAAAGGCTGAAGGCGAAGCCGGAGATGGAGATGGAGATGAAGCCGAGGCCGTCGACGTCGCCGTCACCGTGGCCGTCCCCCACACACACACACATTATCTACTCTAACGACAATGCAAAAATCTATCCAGAAGTGAGAATTTTATTACCATTGCCAGGATAGTAGTCGGTGATGCTGCGTAATCAGTGCATGTCCTTGTCACCATCTCGCATACCGCTCGCCCACCTTCTGGCTGGGCCTGGAATGAAAAGAGTGTCGGGATTACTCATAAAATTGCGATATCTTTTGTCACCTTTGTTGGAGCGCAGCCGCAGGGGTTGAATTATGTGCCGCAGCTGTGAGGGGTAGTTGGATGCTGGATTATTGTTGACATCGCTGGTCTATTTTACTTTATTTTATTTTTTTGGGGTAGGGGAATGGTCGCCACTGCAACTAATGGATGCTTTCCCCAAGGACCATGCAAGCCCCCAAAGGCAAAGCTCAGCCATTAGCATTTATTGCTTATGATAAGCTACCCCCAAAACAGTTTATAACTCCTGCTAGCTCCAGCCCGGCAAATGTCGAAGGCTATCTGTGCCACGTCTGCTGCTTCGATAACAATTGAATTTCACTTGAACGAAAATGTTTTTGCTTACGCATCAGTCAGTCATCCGATTGCACTCCCCAATAGCACACAAATTTTATTTAAAGACATGCTTGACCGCACTCCAAATGCAAAGTCAACAGGCAACAACAGACGACGCCATTGAAAATCAAACAGTTCGGATCATTTGCTGAGCTATGCGCTATCAAATTTCAAATATTTCATATTATTTAGAGCTTCTTTCCTTGTCACAGACCCTTCAGTCACACCTGCTGCACCTGCTGCTGTCTGCTGTCCTTCCCTTGAGTTGGAGTCTCCGGCTCAAACTCGAGTTCTCAAAATCGTGTTCGTTTGCAATTGAACTATTTGCACACACAAATGCGACCAGGAGACACCCTTTATGCAAAACACCCAAACAAACACTTATTTACGATTTTCGATTTTGAAGCTTTAGATTTTCAGCTAACTGTTACATGCATTCGCATGCATTTGGTATAGCCTTTTAGTCGACTTCATGCATAGAGGGTATAGGAACTTTAACACAATACAAAATTCGGAATGCATTAACAACACGACAACATCTGACATTTCAATATTGCAAATATTGGAACCTTTCGGTTAGTGACACGTATTAAAAATGAAGTATCCGCTGCGATGGGAGCAATGCGACGGCTGTTGCTGTCTTCAATAGCGTGCTATCTGACAATATCGAATACGTCTTGGCGCATGACTTGGTAAGAATAGAGGCGTGCACTGGCTGACAGCACATTATTAATTTGTGGAAAAATAAACTTAAAATGTACAAGAGCTACTTTGGGGTATATACGATATTATGAGTATGGCAAGTTATTTAAATATTAAAATAGGTGAAACTAATTCATACTTGGACACGCAATGCTATGGATACTGATCTATATATAGATATATATATATAGGAATATATATATAATTATATGTAACTATTTGATATTTTTTAACAATGAGTGGTAGGAAAGCTTGAAGTACTTATTGATAAGTTATAAAAAGTTTAATCCAACAGTTTTTTGCTTGCCTCTTCTGATGTTAAACCTCTCCTGCGATTATTCATCTGCCATTACGTTCTTGATCTGTTGTTGCCTATTCTCAATCATTCTTTTAGATACAGGTATATGTTGGTATCTGTTGGTATATAGGTATATGTACATATATATTTACTCACCTTTTTAACATATACTCTTACTTTTTGATTTCTAATGGCGATTCGCTACATATTAGGCGAAACATCCAAAACTAATAAATTAATTGTTCCTGTAACATCATGACATATTCATTATATTTGAATTGTTTATAAGAAATTCAGCTATGAATGTGCCTATAGTTTTCCCAAAATGGTCAAGCTTCAATGTACGATTGTAGTGTTTTTGCTTGGGACACTCTTAGGTTTTGAATCGGCATCTGCGGATAATATAACCCTGGCCATTACTGCGCAAGCATTACGGCAGACCGGGAATACAAATGTTCTTGTTTCGCCCTACTTGCTAAGCGATGGCCTGATGCAGTTGTTTTTAGGAGCCGAGGGCGAAACGGCTAAGGAAATTGAAAACATTCTTGAGATGATTGGCACACCAAAGATCAAGTCAATCGAAGGTTATTCATCTTGGAAAAGACAGCTGACCCCAACAGAAGGTGTGATATTGAAATCGGACAATAGGCTCTACGTGGATAAAGATGTCAGCCTATTACCAGAATATACGAAACTAATAAATGATGTATTTGATTATACACCTGAGCAAGTGGACTTTGGGGATTGCGAAAATACTGTCACCAAAATAAATGACATGATTTCCCAAAGGACTGGGAACAAAATATCAAAATTGATTGATAAAACGGACAACAAGATAAAATTAATGTTCCTCAGTGCGATTTATTTTAAGGGCACCTTGAAATCTCCATTTTTAAAGGACAATACATTTTGAGGCAAGTTTTTCGTTCGGGAAAAATCAGGAGAAACACGCACTACCCGGGTTGATATGATGGGTCAAGTTGGCCGTTTCAAGTCTAGCTACATTATGCCTCTGGATGCTGACTGCTTAGAGCTGCCATATAAAGACTCAATGCTCTCACTGGTTATTCTGCTGCCTAGAGAATTGGACGGCATTAATAGGCTTGTGGAAGATCTGGATGACCTTCACCCGGACGATATCCCACCCGAATCCGATGAGCAAAGAATGGCAGTTCTTTTGCCAAAATTTAAATTTGATTTTGAGGCCGAACTGAGTGATGTTGTAAACAATTTGGGCGCTAAATCATTATTTCGAAATGCAAATATGGAATCGATGACTGACGACAAGCGCCCATTGCGAATCAGCAATATCTTCCAGAAAGCCGTTTTTGAGTTGGATGACGAAGATGCCGCGCCGGGTTCGTATCTCATTTATACATAATATCTCAAATATTTAGATAATAGTAGTATTTAAATATTTCAGCAACTGCCGAAGAGTTCAATAGATTTTTGCCCCGAGCTCGAGAAGATATTATTGTAAACCATCCATTTGTATTTTTAGTCAAAGACGAGAGTAGGATTTATTTTGCGGGGCGTGTGATTAATCCGCAATAAATGGCATCATTTACAAATTGCTGATAAATAAAGTTTCGCAGCATGATTTAGTCATATTTATTCATGTTTTCATCATCATTTTATCTGTCATCTGTCTTGTTCGAAACTTCCCACATTAAAATATATTAAATACCTACATGAAAATACTCCAAAAATAATACTAAGCTGCAAATGCAGCACCGCAGTTCGCCTAACGATTCAAACCATATCCCAGAGATCAGAATCCCACTAGAAACTAAACTAAACTTGTAAATAATTTGACGATTAGAAATGCAGTTAGAATTTCGTCATGCCGTTAATGAAATGCAATATGTGATTAGTCCCAGATATGCAGCTTTAAATTTTTCGCTTTATAATAGCTAATAATCTTGAGTAATTGTGTTAACAATAAACAACTGTTGCACAGTTGGCGCCATTAAAGGATAAGGGAAAAACACTTTAGATTTGCGCACTTAGGTAAACAGTAACAACTGGTGCCACGGCAAATCTCTTTAGCCGCCAATCATAATTTCTGCAACTTAAGAGTCGCCATAACACTTGCGCCTTAACAGAGACTTTCACTTGCAGCCCTAACAAGCGACTCATTGGCGCACGGAATGAGGCCAGCTGGCACGGCTGGCAGGCCAAGAGCTTAGGTTGGCAATTTAAAAATTAAGCAAACTATGCGCGAGGTCCCCACCGAAAAAACACTTTAACTAAAATTAGAAAAATGCCGTTGAGTGCAACAAACCGGCCGTAAAAAGTAGCGCAGGTTGCAGGCGTTCACATTGACGCCATTCTGTAATCAGCACTTGCAACATGCCAAGAACACCAGCAACACTAACAACCACAACCCGTACAAGAACACCAACAAACTAACGGGTAATAAGCAACAACTGCACTGTAATGAAGCTATCAACCGTAAGATGGCGCTTAGGCACGCAATCATACTTTGGGGCCGGGCACTGTGAAGACGGAGACAAGACCCCCACAGGCCATAGCAGCTTAGCTGTGTGTGTCTCATATTTAAATGTGTTCCACAATTTCTCTTCGAAACGGTTTCTCGCAGCTAGCTAAAAGATTACAATTCCATTTTATATAAGTTTGTGCCTGAGAAAAGTTAAGCAATCCCTACTTTGAGTCTTTGGCATCTTTAGTTTTACAAATATAAAAAAACATCTTCCATTGGTTTATTTTCTGCGGACTGATACAAATTCATTGCGATTTCGATTTACGGAACACAGAATATATCAACTGGTCTGCTCGTTAACGTCGCCTGGGCCACATCACGCTATGTTCAACACTCGCGCTGCGGCATACACGGCGTATGTTTAATATTTCCGCAGCAACTATGCGCATATTCATTTTGACGACGCTTTGACGTCGCCATCGTCAACGCGGTACGTTGACCGCTGGGAACCCGAAGCTGTTGCTACATTAGCGCTGCTGTCATGCATGTCCCAGCCCCATCGTCGGCCGTAGTGCCAAGTCCCATACGCTAACTCGTATACCCAGTGGTTGTGACCTAAATTTGCAGTTTATGAAATATATATATATATATATATGTGTAATATAAAATGTAGCCGCCGCATGCATAAAACAAAAAGTGCGCGGCGCTCCCGCTTCATATTTATATTTATACAACCATAAAGTATATAGGAAAAAAAAACTAACGCTGGTCGACTTTATAAAGCATGTTTTTTTAGTCGAGCGCCAAATGATGACAGTAATGGCGGTGGCAAAAGCGGAAATGCCCCCAAGCTGCACTGGCAACATCACAGAGAAATCACGTTGCGTATACGTCATGTGGCACAAAAACAACGATTTTGTAGTTGTGGGTGAAGCAGCTAAAACTAATACAATTTGACGCACAGATGTGAAAAAATATATTTTGACAAAAAATGGACTAGAAAAGACTCCTAGTCAATAAAATCGCTGGACTTAAATTAAGCAAGCAAACATAATCAACAGTCTACTTTAAAATTATATTCACAGTTAAGCCACATTTTTCCCTTTCGCCCATTACCTAACTAGTTAAATGCTAGTAGGTGGTAATTATTGTTGCTAAGAATTACAGCTAGTATGCTTAGTCAGTTTAAGATCTGGGAAACGGCAGCTGACAAAAGCCAATGCGGCGTATGCGTAATTTATTTGAAAAACATCAACGCATTATTGTAGAACGTGAAAGGCTGTGTAGGGGAGGATGTTAGTGTGGGTATCGGGGTGACAATGAACGTTTAACACTTCATTAAAAGCCATTCAGCAAAGTTGTAGACAATTAAAGACAAGCGATGGCACTTAACACATTCCCAATGTTCATTGACCGGCAAACGAAATAAAAATTGCAACAGCTACTTCAGCGCGAATGCTTCATTAAACAGCAACAACAGCAACAACAATAACAACAAGAACAACGTGTACAAGGGCAATAGACAAAGTTCCCGGACCACAAATTACACTTGGCTTGGCACAGCACAAAATGGCGTAAAAATTGCAGCTGCTTCTGCCATGAGGCGAAAATATTATTGAATGTGTGTGTGTATATATTCTTAGTGCTTGCCTCGTGCCTGCTGCCTGCTGTATTTTTTATGATGCTTGAAAATAAATAAACACTCAATACCCAATGCCAAAGAGCAGACAGAGCAGAACTTACAGCAGCCACAGACAGCAGCGCACATTCAATAAATCTTCACTCTGTGAATAGTCACTTGAGACACAACGCAGAAGCGGGCAACACGGAGGGACATTCGGCAAAGTGAGTTCCGAGAAGCTGCTACGATTTGAGCGGCTTTCATTTTCATTCCATAATGGCAATAATCGCGTGCCCAACTCAATCATGACGCTGGCAATGATGACGATGATGATGTTGATAATGCTGCTGGAGTGTGTGAAAAAGCGCAGCTTGCACGTAGCACAAGCGAATGCCGGATGGGAAGAGGGTCCGGCGGAGGCCTATAATAGTCTCACATATACTGCGGCACAATACATAACTCAGAGTCAGAGTTAGAGCCAGGGCCAGTAGCAGGGCCAGGAGCAGTAGCAGGACCAGGAACAGGACCCAGGCTAATGCTGCTGCGCTCTGGTCTTGAAAACCACGCAAAAGACGCCAGCAAATAAAAAACAAACAAAAGCCCCGCAAAGCATGCTGCAGAGGACAACGGCGTGGCGGAAGTACTGAAACAACGTAAATCAAATGGCTGGGACAACGCTGCAAATATTCAATCTATAATGGCATTTACACGACTAGGAACAGGATATGTAATATCCTTTTTTGGGGCTTTTCGGCTAGCCTGAAATTTGTAAACTTGTTTGCCAGCCGAAGCAGCCCACTTGCCTATGGGCCAACTTATTTTCAAATAAATATGGCGCTGCCCTTTTTACCAGGCGCCATAAATCTCAACAATTTCCGTTGTCTCCTCGGGAAAGGGTCACCCAAACAGCCTGCCAGCTAGCAAACAAGCCAACAAGCCAGCCAGTAGCTAGTTGGCTTAGTTCGATCCGCTCTTGGATTTGGTTTTACAATTTATGCACACGGGATGTGCCTCTAACTCTTTGCTCTTTTATTTACTGCTCGCATTTCAAGTGGAAGGCAGGGGCAACATTTTTCCTTTTTCCTTTTCTCCAGTCGGCATATGCAAAAAGCTTGTTAATGGATTTTGTGAAAAGTATCTCAAACGGTGAAGCTGTCTGGTTTGAGAGGTCGATAGGTCGAGTGATTGCGCACAAGAGTTGAAGTCTGAATGAAACTCAATCTGTGGGCCACAATAGCAAAAGAAAATGAAGAAAATAAACAAGATTAATATTTACCTGCATGCTTAAGAAATGTTGGGCAAGGAATGGAAGCGATTTAGCCATTAAAAGAGCAGAGCCAACAATTGTTAGATAAAAACAAATGAAATGTTTTGTAAAACATGAAAGTATAATGCATTTCACATGCACAGCTTTTCATTTTGTAATAGTTCTTGCAGCAGTTGAGACAAAAGCTTTCTCAGTGCCTAACCAAATTGTGTGCTGCTGAAGCTACCCATCGCACCTATTTCAATTCACATAGCTGTCAATTATGTGGTGATGGGAACGCGTTGTGCCTGTTGGCAATGGCACACCAACATTTTTGACAACTCGAACTGAACTTTAAGCCGGAAGCTGGCCAAAGTTGCAAACTCAGCGCTGATGCAGCACGAAATCGAGCCAGTCGTTCTTGCGTTTCCCTCTCTTCCTGTGCCTCGCCGTTGCCCTGCGTGTGGGTGACACTTCCCCTACTTCTTTCTGTCTGACTGTCAGACCTGCTCTATCTGCTCGTCTGTCACACAGTGTGTCACATAATATGGACAATCACTAACCACGCAAGTGTCAAACAAACAAAACGAGCGCAAAGCATTCGCAGCCGCATCCGCATCCGCACCCGCTCCCGCACATGGTCGCCCCATTTCGCAGCCTGGCAGAAATTTGCAAGCAAATCCCATTTTCGTATAAGGGGTGCACTCACACTGAGACAGGCGTACGCACAGGGCGGGGGTACGTGTACGAAGGAGCGAATATTTGTGAGGACGGGAGCAGATTCAGGCAGAACGTACCGCATTTGAGTGCTGCGGGCGGTTCGATATTTTTTCGGCGCTCGTTCTTCGCAAGAGTCATCTGAATGTGTGTGTGTGGGTGTGTGTGGTGGCAGGGGGAGAGAAGTTGGTGGTTCTGAAGAGACGTTGCGTCCGTGGCCATGGGAAGGGGGCACCACAGCCAGCTGCTGTTGCTGCTGTGCACACATCAATCTCGCTCTAACTTTGCAGATACGAATCTTTCATTTTCGTATTTCCGTTCAAATTTCGTGTAACTGAACTGGAACTTTAGAATGACAAACTAGATTTCTTTTTTTTTTGTGTTACTACTACCCTCAGACAGACAGTCAGACCAATCGGGCCACCCAGACTCGATTGGGCATGGTGCCGCATTTTAATGTTGCCCCCATAACACACTCAAATGTGTCAAAAAAGAAGCCACGCGATACTCTTTGAATGTTTCGCAAACTCAACTGTAGAAAATAGTTACATATCAATACTAATATACTATATAAAATTTATATGTAAGCAAAAATAAATGATATATTATTTATATGAATTGAAAAATATATTCTTTATGCAGCATATGCAATGCTTTATATGTACATATTGAAAATTCTGCTGTGTCTAATTGTTTCTCCACATTCCAACCTGGCACAAAATACCTGCGAGAATGCCCCACCCTATAAAGTGTGCATTAAGTGGGCGTCTTTGTCTGATAGCTGAAGACCTCGTCGCTTCTCGTTGGCATCAAATTTAAATTTCTTCATTCGTGTGCAAGTTCAAGCGCCAAGTCCAATATATTTTTTCTATTTTCTGATGTCTGTGTATGTGTGTGTGTGTGTCTGTCTGTCTGTGTCTGTGTAATGCACAAAAATTCAGGTCATGTACGACCAAAAGTAAGTGGATGCGTTCTTATCAGCGCATACAAATGTTTTATCTCGCTCGGCGCGTGTGCAAAGCATCCTTGCCTGTGGCTGCCTGCCTGCCTGCGCGCCTGCCCGTTCGCCTGACTACCCCTGATCAGGAGCGCCCTGATTTATTTAACCTAAGGCCCCAAAAAACTTACCAAGAGTATATAAAACAATAAAAACACAACTCTATTCGAATTAGCAAGTATCAAATTGGATTCAGCTGCGAGGCTCCCAAAAAGCCTCAAAAAGAATTCAAATTTATTTTTTGACTATTTGTTTTTGATTCTTAGCTCAAGCATTTTTAGTTCAAAAAATTTAACTGAATAAAATTTAATTATTTTACCTACTTACACTTAAACTAAAACTAACTCAATTTCAGATATTTGTAAATTTTTTATCAGTTCAATTTTTAGAAACTTTTCCCTTATGTTCTTTTTTTCTTTAATATTTATCTTTTAACTTATTAAAATATTTAATTTATTTAAATTAATTTTATTTTCGCATGGCTTTTTCTGTACCTTGGCATTCCGCTCCTGGCTGGGTTGCTTGGTTGCCTTTCTGTTGTGTTTTGCCAATTGTCGGAAGTGCCTGTGGCTCTTGCATAAGTCACACACACACATACATATATATAGCACACACATTTTGTATAACACACATGCACACACAGCCAGTTAGACACTTTCTTTTGCTACTTGAGCTTCCGTTTCCGCTTGCCTGGCTGCCCTCGTGTCCGTCTGATCCGTCAGCGCTGTCTGCTTATTTACTTATGCATAGCATATAACCTTAAACATAATTTTGTTTGCTTTTGTGCTGTTTTGTCTCCTCGCTTTGCATGCAATTCTCTGTTGCCGGCGTCTAACTCCCTTTGCCCCGCTTACTCAATCCAGCATGCTCGTTCCAACAGTTCTTAACTTTTTTTATATCTAGCATCAAATTTTATCTATTTGACTCGTGACAGTCTAAAACCGGAAAAAGTTTGAGAACTGGTCTGAATATTGAAAAATTGTAGAGCACTTAGGTTTTGAAATACCCAAGCCATAATGAGGCCATCAGAAAAGTGTTGAGTAGAAAATTATCTTTAAAAATTAAATTAAATTACAATTTTCGAAGCAGTTTTAAATCGATTCCAAATAATAATAATGTCAAAGTTTTGTCGATTTTTATTCAATAATTTTTTTTATTTTTAATTTTTTTTTTTGCTTTCTTTTAGTAGCCTCGCTTGCTGAAATACGTAACTGGATAAGTTTTAAGCATTGAAACAAATCATTTGTTGGCCTTGTTGAATAAATTAATATCCCTTTGGCCGCATTTCGGTGGGCTGACAACAGCCTGGTCCGCTTCGCGCAGATTCTTAAGACGTTTCTGTATTTTTTTGAACTCGTCATCCAGTTCAAGAGCGCGATTCGATATGCGTACGTATTTGAGAGCATAATGAAGATCTGACATGGGCAGATCGTTGTCTTTGATAAACTGCATTGCCTCTTCGGTCTCCTTTTCGGTGTAGCTCTGCAATGAATTTATTTAAATGTTGCTCATATGAATGCGAATTCTCTGCGAACCTCCACAACCTCCGGCGAGTATGAGAAGGACTCGTCGTTAGCCATTGCGTCTTGTTTCCCGTCAGACATTGTAGCCTATTGTAATGTCTTTTATAATTTTCATTCGAAAGGTTTTCTTATGTGGGAAATATTTGTTTGATTTCAGCAATTTGGCAGTTTTTTCCAGGCCGAGGCCTGCTGTGTGCACAAAAATCCGCAGCGCAGTCAAAATAACCCGTCAGCACTTGACCAGCTGCCATCAAAGCCAAACCGAACCCAGCCAAACTAAACCAAACCAACGTGAACCTCATTTGGCATTTTCAACTTTGTCGGTTAACCGCTTTTTTAGCGGATTTAACGCATTTTCAGTATCCTGGAAGTGGCAGACATTTTCATACCGCACTCGGAAAAGTGAAAACAGACCCTAACATGCCAAAATGTTTGAATTGAACAATCAACGCAATGGGTCCACGTACCCGCTCCCGTTCCTGCAACGCATAGCTGCCTGCATTACCCATTTCCCATTTTCTATTTCCCATTCGAGCACAACCTGCACCCCCTCGTATGTCAACCGTGCGTGTATTTAACTCGGTTTCTGTTAGTTTATTTCTTTCCCGACCGACTGACATTGTGTGAAAGTTTTGGCTCCCGGCTGCTAACCGCTCCGGGGGCCTTTCAATATTACTTTGTTGTGCTCATCGCGAGAACCAACGTTGTTTTGAAATGTGCCAGTTTTGACTCCTGATTGTTTAGGAAATGTATTTCAATCGGCACCATTGAGTATAGAAATTCTAGGTGCCAGAAAATGGACATTACATCATTGCGAATGTGTAAGCAAGCGAAAAATTGCATCTACGACCCCATAGGGTATATACATAGTCATTTTGTCGAGTTGATCCCTATGATCTATCGATTCCTGCCTGATTAATAGCTCCCCAACTCAAATGAATATATTTTTAAATGTATTTCATTGGATTTATTAATACATTGTTAACCAACTAATAGCTACAAACAACAACCAAAGAGAATACTTAAGTCGTATAAATGTCGCTAGTTCAGAGACGCTTCAGTCTTCGCAGCTGATCCCCAAAAAGCTGTCCAACTGATGGACATGGTTACATAGCCGTTCAGCGTATCGACTTTTACAGAAGTTGATTGTAGGTGAGCGGTAATCTTAAGAGGGCGTCCGATTTGTTACATTCAGCGTATATATACCTCAGGAGAGGATTATAGACTAGGAAGATTGAATGGAATAGACTTTGGCATATTTAAAGTCAAAAGCTTTGCCTTTTCCAGCCCTTTTCGAGCCAAGTACCAGGCGAATTGATTTACTAGATAAATATTTAAGTGCTGATCTATCACCCGTGTGGTTGGCGGGCGCCAGAATACCTCCACAGCATGTCATCGCTTGTCGTACGAGGCGACTAAGAGAGACACGTAGGTCTTCCAGTTACGGATATCAGGCAGGGAATTATACAGAGAGAGAAAACAGAGAGTATTTGCAAGTGGGGTAACCTACTGGCAGACCATTTGATGCTAATACATATGTATGCATGTATATTAATTGGTTCAGCACATAATTATAATAGGGTTAAAAAGGGGCAAGTTAAAGTTATATAAAAAGTTGTCAGAATTAAATTATTCTCGCTTAGCAAAGGCATCTCATAGACTCGTTCCTGCTTGTTACTTACATGTTTTCAGTGGCAACAGCAAAATATCTATTTCAAATGAAGCTCCTTATTTTTAGACAATTTGTGTTTCAGTTCCATGTTGTGCTGCCTTTTCTGGTTTCCGGGCAATGTTCCATTGCGTGCGAGTACCCCGGGTCTTGTTTTCGTGCAACCCCCCTTATAATATAGATTCAGAGAAAAACATTTTCATTCAATTGCCTGCTGTTATATGCAAAATATATATTTCGCATACTTTTGTTTATTTTCATGTATGCCATCATATTGCTTTTCACATTATATCGAATATTCTATTCTGTTTCCCTTTTTGTTGTTTTTATTATATCTACAGATGCTATATGCTCATATATGTGCGTATACATAATATATATGCCTGCGTGTGTGTGCCAACATTTATCCATTAATTTGCGCAAATAAAGTTGCCACAACATACGCGCACTCACGAAACCGCAATTGAATCGGGACAGAAGCCCACAGAGAAAGGTTTGCTGTCTCTGTTACTCGCAGTGAATATATCTAGATACGGTGAAAGGTAAACAATTTTAATTTATTTGCTCAATAATAAACCCATCAAATAGCATTGGGTGGGGGTGCTGGAGGAGGGTCATACACTGCGACATTGCCTATTGAAATATACAAATCAAATATGTTAACACGCATACGCCCCGTTAACAGTTCATTGTGGGCTTTGTGGGCGCCGTATATTCATGTGTGCGTATGCGTGAGCACGTGTGAATAGATACACGTGTAGCCGCACAATAATAGATCGCAAATTAAAGCGCAATACTCTTGGGTAGTACGGGTAAACATACACAAGTGTCTAATAGGCTCCAATGACACTAGCTGAAAGCATCAAATAATATTAATAATAATAATGTTTTATTTTTAAAGCCTTTTAATACAATGTTAAACGAATTGAAGGCGACATTTTCGACTCCATAAGCTATATATATCCTTGACCATTATTAAAAGCAGATATAGCCATGTCTGTCTCTCTATCTGTTCGTCTGTCCGATTCAATTAGAGATGCGATCAGGCTGGAAATTACGTTGCTGGAAATCCCCATCTCGTCGAGATCTAAAAGGATATGACGGGAAAGGGTTTAAAGGTATGAGGGATGAGTGAGATTTTGGCATGATCTTGAAATTCTCGCGGGTCCATATGTTACTCATTTCTTTACTTTTCAAATTTATGAAAATTAAAGTTTACCAAATGTGGTCAAACTTTCTTTAATCGAGCGGGAAACATTTAAAAACCTTGTAATTGCATGGGTTAATAAATGTTTGTTTCCTAACGGGCGGGACGTTTTTATCGAATCTCTATTTTAACGAAACTTTGCATAGGCAAGTCTTTTCAATGAAGTCTTCGAATTGTTCCAAAAACAAGTTTATGTATGGAAAACTATTCTGTTTTCTTATGATATTGTGACCAAACTCAGCAATTACGAGCTTCACTTCCTCACATATCTACAAAGCCGTAATTTATATGTAAGCTTATTTAAGCGTGTCGCAATTAGCTGCTCTTGTTATTTTTTTCCCCCTCAAGAACAATAGATCTTTGACAGTAAGTCTTTCATGTGCATTGCAATCTGCTTTTGCAGCTGCTCCCACACTCAGCTCTGCAAAGCTTTGTTCAGTCTGCCGCATAAATTGGACGCACATGCATTGAATACCAAGTGCATACTTTTTGCTTTTTGTCTGTCAACTTTGCAGCGATTAATTTGCTTGGGAAATCAAGCGCAGTGGTCAGAGCCAAGAAAAAGTGTCGAAAAAGGCAGCGCAACGTCATCAACGTAGACTTAACATGATGTTATACTTGAGGCTTCTGGCAGCTGTCTCGTTCTCAGCTGATTGCAATTTTTAATTGTCAAGCGCAGTCGAGTGACAAATGAACGCAGCTCTCTCATGCAGACCAGATGATGCAGGAGCAAGAGCAGGAGCTGCACCGGAAGCAGAAGGAGGTCCACAATCAGCCAGCATGGAGCACCTTTAATGACAACTGATATTTTATTTAACAAATGCAACAGCTGAGCAATGGTTGGCAGCTCCACTCACGAATTGTTTTACCAAAACGTTGCAAAATGTATGAGAGGAATCAGAAAGAGGGCGGCATCTGGCAGCTGGCCAGATCTGGAAGCCAGCAGTGGCCGGCTGGAACCAGCAGGAAGCGAGTTGTCCACTGGACGCACTTCAATGAAATACATCCGATTGTCATTTCGGGACGCACAGACCAGGATGTCCAGATCTAAAATGCAAATGAAGCTGTCTCGCAATTTTATTTTCGAGCCTCAGCAAATAGGGCTGCTCGTTTGTCTGGGCGGGCACACGCTGCATTTAATTAGACATTAATATGGAATGCTTTTAACGCTTTGCTGCGGTTAAGTGAAAGTTCAGCTTAAGAGCTTAAGCCGGGGCTAAGTTTTATGTCCCCAAAAACGCCGACCCGCCATTGGGGTGGCAAAAGAGGAGCTGTTGGAGACGGCGACACGCGCAATTTGCATTTGCATTTTTGGGTAATTGTTGGAATTGACTCGACCCCTGCTGGCATTTTGTTTCCTGCCCCTTCGGCTATCAACCTACTACCCTCGGGCTTGCAAGTGAACAATTTATTGTTTCAAACGGATTCGTCGTGGCAAAATTCGATTACTGGTAATTGCCTATTGCCAGGATGCTTGGCAAAAGCGCAGCCAAATTGAATTAAAAGCGTTGCAAAGCTCAAAAGCTGCGCATTCCCCGCAATGATTAACGTTTTAAAGCGTAAAGTGATTAATCCGCTTGCTTGAGCCAAGGGATGGATGCACAGAGGGAGAAGTGGGAAAGGGTATTTGGTATAAAACTGGTTACAAAGCACAACAGCCTGCCTAGTTATATCAAGCGCAATAAATCTCGTAAGGAGTGATTTTGTGAATGAGTCTTGGGTCGAAGCGGTTTTTAAAGCACAGCATTCCCATTACTTAAAAAGATATTTATACATGCAGAGTTCTTTGATATGTATCATCTTTATTTGTAATTTATATAGTCTCTAGTGAGTTGTACATATCATATTGATAATCAAACAAACATATATGAGGAACTAACTCTGAACTCCCTCATCTGTCCTTTTTCTGTCTTCATATTTTTCTTTAAGTGGCTCTTACTTTTTTCAGAAACTAAGTGATCTAGTTTGAAACTCCGAAAGTAAAATAGTCAGCTAAAATCGGTTATAATAAATCACTATTTCGATATTTTCTTGCATCTCTAATCAGAAATTGTTCTTATAGTTCCCATAAATAAACGAGCTCAGTTCAATTATCATAAAGCATCTTTTTCTTTTCTCTTGCCCCAACAAACTTTGCAATTCAAATAAACTTTTACAAGGAAAAAATGTTGAACTGCCGCCGTAGGCCTTGGCTTGCACTCGAAAAAAGTGAATGGAATTGCAAAAAGAAGACAGTTAGGAAAACTATGCCAACTAAAGATATGCATTTACGTATTTAGTATATGTAAATATGTGTGTATATGCCAGTTGATGTGTGAGTTTTCTAAGGAGTATGCAATTCAAATGGATGCGACGACTGAAACTTTTCCAATTGTCGGCACTTTTTGCGTTTGTTGTTGACTTTGCTTTCAAATGAGGTTTGTTTTTCCCACACAAAACCCAGTGAGCTATGCTGAAATAGTTATTTCTAATAGCACTTCAGAGAAGTACTTAGCAGAAAAATTAAATTTATATAAGGTTTCAGATTTTGATAAGTTAACGCAAAAAATGAGCGTCGTCAGTTGCAGCCCAAAATGCTTTGAGATCTACGAGGCCATACGCAAGAGCAAAGAGTATCGTTACATAATCTTTCGCCTCGTTTCCGATGCCTTTGTCGATGTGGAGACCGTCGGTCCGCGGGACAACGACTATAACCAGTTCCTTGAGGATCTCACTCGCAATGGACCCATCGAATGTCGCTATGGAGTGTTCGATCTGGAATACACCCATGTGTGTTTGGTAACCAAACAGGAAATAAAGCGAGAGAAATTGGTGCTGCTTTGCTGGTGTCCCAATGAAGCCAAGCCCAAGGGAAAAATACAATATCTGAGCTATTTGCGGCAATTTATGGATCAGTTAAAAGGCGTTCAGTATTATAAGACTGTTCGCGAAAGACTGGAGCTGTCGCGCGAAGCCATCGTGGGATTTTATCGTGGCAAACAGCCAAAGCATTAAAAGCATGGGTACAGCATTTATCATTTACGTTAACTGACAATTTCTTACACGTTTTAAGTATTGATTCATTTAAATTAAGAGTTTGTTTACTTTTGTGACTTGCCAAAAACAAAATGAGATACATTGTGAATGAAAACGAAATCAAAATCTGGGCACGACATCGAGCTATTTAAAAATTTATGTTTTATACAAAATCTTAAAAAAAAAGTGATTAAATAACTACGAAGCGGCTTAAATTGATATGGAACAGAAAGTGTAAGAATAATACGAAATCAAATAAGAAAATCGCCAAGGAAAATATTGGAATACATTAATTTTAATCTATAAATTATTAAATGATATGTTTTTAATAAGCGTAAGCAGGTGTAATGCGAAAAAATGAACTTAATTATTTTTACTTTTACTCTCAACCATAAAGAAAATTCATTTTGAACGTCTTCTCGCCAAATTGCGTTTGCTGCACATATTCAAAATTTTGCCTGTTCAAGGCAAGAACAACATGCGGCAGTCAAGTCACCAATTTTTGCAGCTTCTGGGCAGGATGGGGGTGCCTCTTCCAGAATCTTAGATGTTCTCTTTGAGGTGATTTGGTAGTTTCTCCTTTGATAGTATTGTTGAATGTTCGAGCGACTTTCAAATCAAAATCGAGTTAAGTTCGATAAACATAGTTAATGCTGTTAACTCTTACACAGTGTTGCCAATTCAGCTAATTTTTCCAGATGTTAGCCAAAATGTTACCTGATTTTGCTATTTATTGAACGTTCAAAGACTAGTACAAGCATTCCTCCTCATTCCCAATCTATGCTCGAAAGCTTCTACATTTTTCTTCTGTAAATTGTATTTGGTTATTTGGGGCATTACCTTGGAAGTTCTTTACTTGAACATATATAACACAAGGCGACTGCCTCTGTTTATTTGTCTTACAATTTACACCGCCAAGGACAACTGATCGCAGAGCGTTGACAAGGACACTGCGCAGCAAGTCGCTTTCAATTTAGCAGCAAACGGCCAAAGTTTTCTGCGCTGGACAATAAGCAAGCGCAAACTTGCCACAGCACAAAAGTAGACAACGAAAAGTTGCGGCGACAACTGCAGATATTAGGGCGGCAAGGTATGAGCAGGCCGTGGCTGGCAGACGCTACACTGCAACACGCTAACATAAAAAGCCAAGCAGAAAAAGCAAAAGTTTTCACTGACACCGAACGCCACAAGTAAAAGGTGTTACTTGTCCTCAAAGGAGCAGAGGGAGCGGCATGTCTAGGAGCAGGAGTCGAAGCAGTTGCGTTATGCACTCGGTCCATTGTTTTGTAATGGAGAAATATTGTTTAGCATGCGGCGAGAGATGGCGGTAAAGGCTCGCAACGCGGCCCCTGAAGGAGCTGAAGCTGCCCGTGGAAGTTGCATGTGGCTGCAGTGCCGCTTGCAATATTATGCATAATGGTTTTTGGTCTATTGACATTTATGGCATTGGACTACCAGAGCGCTACCGGCGAAGCATCGAGTCGGGGATCAGGTGTACGCAATGCTAAAGTTTGTCGTGGGGAAAGTTAAAGTAGAGTTTCTTGTTGAGGTTACTTAGTTCGGAGTGAAACGAAAGTTAAAAGCCATGCAATTGAAATGGATACTGGAAATCGGTTGAATGAGGCCAGCTGCCAGTTATCAGGTGAAAGCTACTTATGTGAAGAAGAGAAACTTCTGCTGCAGTTCACAAGAAACTATTGGATTGTAACACCAAAAAGGACTCAGACTCTTTTGTACTAACTATACCCAATAGAATATTCAGCTAGTTAGACGATTGAAAAGATGCAACAATTTAAAATTCGAATTTAAAAGCCTAACTATAAATTTAACCTATGACTCATTCAATCTAATACTAAAGCAAGTGCTTAACCCATATCTGTCGAAACAACCAGCAACGAATTCAATTTAAGTTTCAGTCATTTTAGATGCCAATTACGCTTGAGCCATATAAATCGTGGCCATATCATTAAACGGCTTAATACGCTCGCGCTACAACATAAATAAGCCAACCACCAACAACAACAACAACAACAAGAACAACAACATCAGCCATTCACTCGTAATGATGACATATGGACATACATCTATACAGACATACATGCACACACACATAGCTAACTGCAGCTGCTAACTGAAATAGTTGGGCAAAGTCCATTGCACTATCATTAAAAATGTATTCAATTTAAATTTGCCAATTAACTTGGCCAGGACATGGAAGAAGGGCAGAGGCAGAGACAGAGGCGTGTTCTGTGCCCACATTGTAAATATGACAATTTTTCAACAAACTAAACTAAACGCTGACAACGTTTATGGGTAGGCGCCCCTGTCAGATGGCAATTGCAGGAGGCACAGGAGTCGTTTGTTTGGTGGCATAAAAAGCATTTTGAATAATAAATGCATAATTCCTAGATACAAAAGCGCGTGCCATAAATATTCCATGATAAATTATAGAAAAGCTATTAGGCCAAACAAACGATGGCGCGCCTGAGTCCTCACTGTGCTGCTCGCCCATGTCCTGTGTCCTGGTTCGTTGAACGTTGCGTCCACCCACAATTTAATGGGTGGACTGCGTTTGACATTTTTCAAATGAGGCTACGTCGAACCAAAACAGTTAGGCATGTGCATTCACTGTGGTGTGTGTTATGTGTGTGTGAGTGTGTGTGAGTGTGTGTGTGGGGTAAGGTGTATCACAGCGCTTATTTATGTAAATTTGCGTAAATTACCATGAAAATATTTACGGTAAATAGAGCATTTTAAATATTAAAGATAAATAGAGCTGGGCAGGCTTGCGTGGGCTCCTGCATTTGACTTGACTCTCGCATTACTTTCTGTTCAAATTGGAGACTCACCGCATCGCATTGGCCCCAAGCTGTGCACGTAGCTGTCGTGGTTCGAAAAGAACTGCAACCTACGAGTTGCAGCTTTGCATTTAACACAAATGTAAACATGAAACCGGAAACGGAAGCAGCAGCACTCAGCTGAATACCTTTGACGAAATAGTAAATAGCGAGAAACAAAAAAGAGCCGAAATAGCTGCAAGAAAATCGACTTTTATTTACTCTCACTGGAAATGAAATAACTAGCACATGTTGAATGAATATGTTCCTATAAATTAACCAAAAATATCTTTTATCTTTAAATATAAATACTAAAATTATGTGTATATATTTATGCACCACCAATATTTAAATATCCATATATTTAGAATATACTCCTGAATGCTTTCTGAGAGTAAACATGCATTCCTTCAAGATATAAAATTATCAAATATAACTCATTTTTAGATCTGTCATAATGTTTATACTGTTCAATATATCTATATTTAGGAAATTTAATAATTGTTGCTTATTTTGTAATAGAACTTTGCAAACTGCGTCACAAAGCCACTATGCCCCATAGGCTATAGAGTGACAGCAATCGTAGCAGCTTCACTTGGCAAAATTCTCAGCATGTGTGGGGTTCGTCTTGTGCCTCGCCAGTTAAATTAAATATTCTTGTCAAATGCAGTAGTCAGTGAGTCAGTTGCAAATGTTGCCCTAACAATTTCAAATATTTGCACCGCACTTCATAGATTTTAGGCTTTTAAATAATAAAATACAATACCACTACAGCAAGTACAACAAGTAAAACCCAAAAACTAAAAGAGAAATACTAAACTGAGGCAACTCTGAGTGCCAACAGGACGAAGACAAGGACGAGAATGTGTCGGCTTCCGTGCAAAGTGTCTTTTTTGGGCGAAAAGTGCTCTACAGTTAGATATTGTATGTGTTTCTGTGCGTGTGTGTGTGTGTGGGTGTGTATCTATGAGATGGGTGCTCTATAAAACATTTGCTTTTGAAGTACGTACTTAAATTGCATTCAAGCTGAGCAGCATTCGTCCTCAAGTAATTTAAGTACATCGCACAAGATCTATACAACTGCTCTACTGCCTGCTGTGGAACTGTGACTTGAGCTGTTAAATAAGTTGGCAGGACGTGTGAATGAGTTTTTAAATATGTGTCGAATTCATGTTGAAAGCTTGAGTGGTGCTTCTTCGGGCTTCTCTGATTATATGAGCCGAGGCAAACGCTTACAAAATTCATTGCAGGCTGGCGAATTGTGGTGTAACGAATGCGGGCGACAGGTACCCGGAAAACTTTACGACTGACAAGAAAAGGCACAGCTATTACTTTAGATGAAAATGTTGGAATAACAAAAGAGAATTCCTTATAGAAAATGATGTGAAGTATATTCTATTAGCTTTCGAATATATGCAAAATCTTCAAGCGAATTGTAGATATATTCTCAGGCATGTTTATGATATACCTTCAACATAGACTATCAACCTGTTTAACCAATTATTTTTAAACATCGACTACACAATACATTAATACAAAACAGCCGTAACAAATGCGTCCATTAGCTATATTGTAAATATGGCCTATAAATCATATGCTAGATATATTTATATAGCTCACGTTAGAATGACATTAACATAATACAATGAAATAACATAAGCTCGCCATGTGGCATTTGTTGATAAACGCCAAAAGATTATTCGATAGGCACAAAAAGGCAATTAGCAAAACCTGCCACGCCTCAAACCCCACCCAAGTGCACCATGTGGCTCCTCTGCTGGCCTGCATTAAGTCCAACATTGAGCGATAAAAACTAATATGGCCATTAAAACCAGAAAGGGCAAGTTTATTTAATTAAAGAAGCGACCAAAAAAAGTATATATATAAAACTAAATGTCTTGTTCATTAAAATTAACCAAGCAAGAAAATAGATAAAAGTAAACATACAAATAAAGAAGCACATTTGGAAAACCCTTTGGCTAATATATTTAAGGTCTTCGTCGGGAGGCTGCCCATGTGAGATGATCAAACGTATAGGCCAAGTCCCAATTAGCCTCGGCCCAATGCGAAGGACAATGAGCAATATTTTTGCTCTGTATGGAGCAGTTGGAACTTCAACAATTTCTCGCATTACTTCCGCTAAATTAATGCCGATTGTGGTGGACGGCCAGTCGGCGTCAGAGCGTCGCCAACTTGACCAAACCCCTACCGAAATCGCATTTTCCTGGGCATAAACAATGGAAAAGTTTTGAAAAGTTACCAAGTGAAATTGAGGGAGAGATGCATACAACAGGTAACCACTTACATAGGATCATAAAGTACTTTGCTATTCAAAATTAATAGAAATATCAAAGCAAGAAATTTGTATCAGGTTTTATTTTCTTAACCGAATAAATTAAGCTTATATTTTAAGCTGTTAATGCCATTGTGACTTAAGGACTTCTCTCATATTTATGATATACATGGGAAAACCATTTGAAAGATCAAGTTTTAATTGTGATGAGCAAGCTGATTCTCTTTAATTTAGTTAAGTATTTAGGTTAATAT